TTTCAAAGGTATAAACAGGGAGTGTTAGTGTACTAATCGACAGTAAGCTGAACAGACATTAGAGAGACAGAGAGAGGATTGAAAATCAAAGATAAAAAATAAAAAATAAGTAAATGAAAGTAATATCTATATATAAAAATGAATTAAAATAAATGGAAAATAGAAAATTAAAAAAAAAAAAACCAAAAAACTTCCAAGTTTATATGCAATGCAGTTTCAGTCTTAATAATTTGGTGTCCGTCTCAATCTCCAGTCCTGAGTTGGTGCCTCAGATGTTGTTCTGTAGTTGTCTCATCAAAGGGATGCATAAAGTAGAACAAAACTACACACTCACACACACCACACACACACACACACAAAGCCCCACCAAGTGTCCCCAGTTCAAATGCAATACAGTTTCAGTAAGTTTTTTGGCTTGCAGGTGTAATTCGGTTGTTCTCTCATAAAGGTAGGGAGAAAAAGAAAAAAAAAGCGTCTGGAGACAGTTCTGAGAGTGGTATCTGCAACTGTGGCTTGCCTGCCTGCTGCTCTCAGCCTGTAGCTGGCGGCGTTATTTATGCAGATCTCTTGGGTGACTAGCACTCACCTGGTCCCACAGGCTTTGTTTGCTCAGAGTCTCCTGTGCGGAGCCTCTGCTACAGGCTTTCCCCTTTCCAAGCACTGGGAAAGGTGACACTGCCCCGCGTTGTCAGGCCTGCGTGTTTATTTACAGTTCATGTGGGAGGTGTGGGTCTTCCCCCCTCTCCTCTGAAGTTTTCCTCCCACTGCCACTTTCACAAGCTTTCCTGCTCCTGCTTACTGGGGGTGCTGCTGCTCCTGCCAGCCGCCATGTTTGTTTACAGTTCACGTGGGAAGATGGGTCTTCCCTCCTCTCACAAGCTTCCCGCTCCTGGTTGCTGGTGCGCGCCCGCTCCCGCCAGAGCCTCTCCTGCCCGCCGGCTTGTTTATTTACAGTCCCGGAAGGATTCCTTCCCCCAATCTTCACGCTCAGGGCGCCCCACCCTCTTTCCAGCGTGTCTTAACTGTTCTTATTGCTTATTACTCAGTTTCTCTTTTTTTTCCCGGGTGGAGGTCGTCTGTCCAGGGGGCTATGCTGCTCTGCCCAGGCTTGTCTGTGTGGGCTACCGCGGTACCGCGAAGCTCACCTGGTCCGTGTCTTCCCAAGCCGTATGGGCGCCGGCCACTGGCGGCCCCGGGGCCCTCCTCGTTCTCCGTTTAACGTGAAGTGGAGATTCTCTGCGCCGGCTGGAGATGTGGAGGGGTCAAAGTTATGCCTTTTCTGGTGATTATGCCTGCAAAGAAAAGTGTCTCCAGCGTCTCTCCAAGATTTCACTATAGGAGGGTCGCTTTCTGCTTCCTACCTCTAGCCGCCATCTTGGAATTCCCCCGGGAAAATGATTCTATAGGGAATAAAACCAGAAACAATGAGGAATAGCTAGACTAATGATCACAGGAGGATGGTGAAAGATGACAGTGATAAGTGACAAGATGTATTTAACATTTGAACCTTGAGCTAATAAAGTTGTGGCAAACAGGAGGAGGAAAAAAAGAGCTAAATATAACCCTTGTATTTGGGACTGGAACAATTGGATAGAAAGTATTGCAATTTACCAAGATGGGGAAGACCCAGTAGGGGGTGTGGGAAGGAGTTAGAGGCCTTCACCTTCTCTTAACATGGTCTCATAAATCATTAAGGATGCTTTACTCACAAATGAAACTTAATAAACCATTTTATGGTTACACAGTATGTTCACCTAACCTGTTAATTTGAATGATGTTGCTAGTAGGAAATCTTTAGACAAGTTAGTAAATTCGATAGAGTTTATTTGGGCAAAGAGCAACAAGTCATCTGATTGGCCACAGTTTGACATTTGTCTTACTTCTCATGGTTTAAATCAGCTGGCTACCTGTGATTCCTGAAGGCCAGCTGCTTATGTTGGGCTGAAATCCAGCTCTTCATTGCAACAAATACACACCTGAGTTAGGTTATTTATTTTGTATTTTGTAGAGAAACTTCAAAGAATGAGATAGCCTTACCATGGGATCCTGATTATTTAGATGAATAACTTTACGGATCTTGCAAGTCATTAGGCAGCCTGTGATGGGCAATTTTTTTTGTTGCTTTCACTTTCATCTTGGCCAAGGCTAGTTTTTCCATCTTCTGCAGAAGTATTTGCTTGCTTAAAAAGAATTTCCTAATTTATTTCTGGAAAAGCATGAGAACAAAGAATTTAATATCCAGTTTAATTTAAATTGCTAAAGTTCAGTCATCTTCATTTCAACTTCACGAGACTTCAACTAGAAATTAAAAAATAAGATATAAATGTATCTCTTTCCGATATAGATGATTAAGGCCATTAATACTGCCAGCAATGTTGAACTTGCATCTAGATCCAGTTGAAATAATAATAGTGACACTACCTAGTGTTTGATTGCTTATTGTTTCCCACAGACAGTATTAAGTGCTTACATCTATTAATTAGTTTAAGCCTTGAAACAATTCCCTTCCTTGTAGGTGATAGAGCTATCGAAATTTAGGTTCCAGAGTAAAGAGTGGTACAACAATGCAAATCAGGCAGTCTTGTACAACCCAACCACCTCACATCACCTCACTGGAGAAACTCTGAGATAGCAGGTTCAAATGAGAGATAAGAGTGTTTGAGTTGCATAGCAGGTACTGAGGAAAGAAGGTCAGAAAGAGATATACTTTAGATATTTCTTCATGAAGTAAATATTTCTGTGTCTATTGTGTGTTGGTCACTATGCTACGACCATGAAAACTGCTGCATGGTCTCTGCTTTGCAGTTCTCTGGCTAGGAAAGGAGATGGAGAAGATACCTGAATCAGAAGCAAGACTTAAGAAGTCTTATTTTACTTCTTAGTTATTACAATAATGAAGTCTTAGGCATGTTTCTAGAATGAGAAGGATGAGTCACTGAAAAGGAAAAAATTTATCACTGACATCTTTGATCTATCAACTTTCAGAAAATGGTCATTTCAATAAGAATGCTTTGTTTCAGAATTTTTGAATTTTTAACAATGTCTGTAAAAACATACAAATCAACTTGTACAAATTTGTACTTATGTGGTTAATATGATTGATGATAACTTAATTAAGTTAAAAGCATATTTAAAGTTTGAGTCATGTGCTTAGGATGTTCACATTGAACAAATTTCTTATTTAGCACTTGGAAGTAGTTTCCAATGTAATATTCTTCCCACCCCATAAGTCATTTCTACTTAGTATTTTTGTGAAAACTATTTTTACAATTATTGAGTCATTGAAAAAATGCCTTTTCAAAAGCAAAAAAATCTGATTCAGGAAAGCTAAATGAAAATTTAAATCCATGTTCTAACTATCTATCTTACTATCTATCGTCTATCTATCTGTCATCTCTCTATCTACTATTATTTTTTTCTATATAGCAAAAGGATTTGAATAACTCAAAATAAGAGGATCTCTAGAGGCCACCTTGTTTTTCATATAAGGTGTTGTTTCAGGCGAGGGCGTGGAAACTAGTAAGACTTGGCTTCTATTTTTGTTGTATGTCTTCCAGAAATTTTTTAACTGAAGACTTTATGTGCTGTAGTTCTTTCCACAGAAAGCAGACTGATATTTGAAGAAGTATTTTCATTTACCCATGAAAAATATGATGTATCCAACCCAAGCGTCACTCTTGTTCTTGAATGTATGTATTTTTATTTGTGGAGGAGCAGTACAAGGTAACTGTGTACATCATTCTACGGTAAGAATTTTAGCAATATTTGTTTCAGTTAGCAAAGTCTTATTATCTTTCAAGATGTATATTAGAAGTTTGAAAATGTAAATTACACTATGAAATATAATTTAACAATTAAAGGGTTTATTTTGAAATGTTGAGACATGTTACTATTTTTAAACTTCAGCAACTTTAAAGTTAACAAATTTCTCATAAAAATTTTAAAAACGATTTCAGGCTTAGTTTAAAAGTTATTTCACAACTTTCTGATTAACTTTGATAATGAAATATTTGATAGGTAATAAAAATCACTTTGCCGGCCATCTTAAAAAATGTTGTTATATAAGCTTTTGTACTTCAATTTATCGTCCTGTGAGTGGTTAGCAAGAACTGTCACCCTAAACAGTCTCGGAATGATAATCAGTACGGTGTATAAAAACACTGACGGGGTGGCTAAGATGTGAATCCTTATATATTCAGTGTTTTATATATTCAGTGTTAGCTTATAATTTTTAAATGTCATAAGGTGCCCTTACCATTGTATCAAAAAAACCATTCCCAAGTTCCATGGTTGAAACAAGAATAAATTCTAAAAAATCTACAGAACTATTCACGGTTTAATTCTCTAAAATACTTGCTAACGTTTAAGAATGTTATTGAAAAAAGGTTAGATACAACCTAAGTTTTGAAACCATCCAGTGTGTCAATCATTTCAGAGGCAGAGAGATAAAATTTTGATAAAACAAATGTATCAAAACTTAAGCATGTTGGGGGGCGGAATATCTTTACAACTTGGTTAACTTGGTTAACACTATAATTTTCTCTCAGTAACCTGGTAAAGCAGAACAGGGGTTGTTTTATTTTCATTTAACAGGAGTTATTGAATATATATATCTTCTAACAAAGTTTGTTTTAATATTGAAGAAATCAATAGTTTTAAAAAATATTTTACTAATAAAACCTTTCAGAGTTAAAAAAGGAAATTAATAGTTATCAACAAATACAGATGTCTTTAGAGTGACAGATGTAGCTGGCCTTTTAATGATACCTGTTGATTTTTGCAAAGCAAAACTCCACTTTTTTCACTTTTCACTACAACTTTCAAATCTATGAGCACTTAACCTTTCAAATGTTTAATACTTTAGTTCACACAAAAATAACAGGCTTCTTAACATTATTTTCTATAATTTCTAATAATTGATGGGAGAAAATCCATTTGGCTAGAAATGTTATAGGTATCTCTGGGAGATTTCTTACCCTTTTTTAAGGAAGTTCAAATTGCAGGATTCTTGGAAGGAGTTGTTTCAGCATTATATTACACATGCAAATTTGCAGAAGTTAGAGGTCAAGACCATAGAGTCGCAGTAATGGAACTAAGCCCTAAATAAATACACCTGCAATTTGAAGATAAAAGAGGATAGTGAACATATTAAATCAATGTGCATATTTTCCATATCAAAAATTTCCCCACAAGGTTTATTTGCAGAAGTTTGAATGAATCAGTTCATAACATGTTTTCAGTGATCATACTTATTGTATCTTCTGAATTCCAAACTTTTTTTTATAATCTTCTTATTTATTATGCATTAGGTCATATTAATATTTTACACATTTTTCTTACTTCTACTTTTCAATGTAAAGGACTCTCTTGCAGTAGTTCAAATTGAGAAAAATGTATTGAATGCAAAAGATGAAAGTCAAAGTAATGATACTGTTTATAAGGAAGACTGTGAAGAATCATGCAACATTAAAACTCAAATTACACGAGAAGAAAAACATTTCATGTGTAGTAAGTATTAAAAAAAAAAAACCCCACAATTGGGCTAGGGTGTGGCTCAAGTAATAGAGTGCTTGTGGTCCTGAGTTCAAACCCAGTACTGCCAAAAATAAATAAAAATAACCACAATTGTAAAGGGGCACAACTGTGTTAGTTCTAGGATAGACATGAAAACCACACTTTAGCTTTTGTCTGGGTCATTTTATTTTATTTATTTTTTTATTCATATGTGCATATAATGTTTGGGTCATTTCTCCCCCCTTCCCCCTGCCCCCTCCCCTACCTACCCCTCCCTCTCCCTCTCCCCCTCGCTATGTCTGGGTCATTTTATATGTGTCCTTTTCACCCTAGGCCATGTATTCTATGTGTTTCACACACACACACACACATATTTAAATAAGCATATGTATACATAAATGGATCCTTTGTTCAGATAGCCGGGTGGTATCAACTGACCATGCAAGGAAGGGTGCAAACCAGACGGCTCTGATAGTCATATTATATTAATGCACCTAGGGCTATTTTCTTCCTTTCACCTGACCTTTGGGAAATTTCACCTTGGTTTCTTTTTTTGATAGGGAAGAGTATTCTAAAAATGAATAAATTACCATTGAATGCTACAATAACTAATGCGATAAGTATAATAAAAGTCTGAAGCCCGTTTATTCAGCAAAGCATAACAAATGAAAAGTGTTCCTCTGGAATTCAAAAGCTCCTTAGTCACAATGCAGAACTTTTGTGACCCATTAGATGTGGGTGGGACGAAGGGAGGGGTCACAGAGGGTGGATTGATGATATGACCCAGTTGCTATAGGACAGCATGAAATGCTCGCTTCAAGGTGGCTCATATTTCTCAACCAGTGAGTATAGCTTTATTCCCATTAAGACAGATGGAACTGGAGATGTGGCTCAAGTGGTAGAGTGCCTGCTTTGCAAGCACAAAGCCCTGAGTTCAAACCCCAGACCTACCAAAAGAAAAAAAAATTAAGACAGATGTCTCAATCTAGGAAAAAGCTACTTGAAAGTGAGAGACTGAAAATAAAAGAGAGATGATCTGGGCGAGGTAGAATTAACACTGTCAGCAATTATTAATGTGAATCTACTGTTAGGGTGAAAAAAACCTCAGAAAAACATGATCTCAAATCTCAAATGCCTTAGGGAAAATTATTTGTACTGTGTTTACAACTTTTCTATAAGAAATATCAAATATAGAATATTTTCTACAAAATAAAAATGTTTTCAAAAAGAACACTGTATAGTAAAAGTTCAAAGAGACCAGATAACCAAAACCTTTGACTGAGATTTAGCGTATGCGTGTGAGTATATATTCATGTGTGTGTTAGCAATGTAGCAATTTCGTTATGTAAAATACAGTGTTAGAAGAAATTAAAACAAAGATTTCTCTTTAAAATTAACTTGCCTGATATTCAAGTGAGCTAATTGTTGCCTTTTACTTTCTTGTCTTGTATAATAAGAATTGATGAATCCTCCTGCCTCTCTACTTGTCTTTGTATAAAGTGAGAATGCCATCTCTTAATTAAAACAGATTAATTATTTTGGGGAACCTGTATTATTAGGCATCATAGTTTTATCAGGAATGTTGAAATAATTGTTTTCTTAGTTAATGTTAGATATAATACATGCTGAGTATTCAAACTGAGATGTTGTTTGCATATTTATTCAAAATCATGTGAAATTCATTATTTTTCACCAGAATTGTTTTCTATAATGATATAATATTTAGCAACCATTTTTATTGTGGTTAAGGAAATCTGCAAAATTCCATTGTTTCCTACACACGAAGTACCAAGAAACTACTAAGGAACATGATGGATGAGCAACAAGCCTCCTTGGATTATTTATCTAACCAGGTAATCGTGTGTACCCTGACATACAGTTGGAGATATAATCATTTCATTTTTAATGCATTCATATTCAGACATCCATTTAGTGCCTAAGCCTCAGGCAAACAAAACAGTAAAAACAATAGATCATCATCCTAAGACCATACAGTCTAGTGGAGAAGAAAAAGGTATTGAAAACATGGATGTTGTTAGAACGCCACAAAAGAGAAATCTAAAATGCAGAACAGCTTCTTGTGACCGTGCTCTGAGTCACCAGAGATGAATAAGTGCTTTCAAAGTCGCAAAGGTCGTGTAAGGAAAGCAGGACATTCTATTCGGGGAGGTTTCTTGGAATTGGGGCAGGGGTAAAGCAGCTGGTGGGGTTGAGAGTGTGAACTGACTAAAGGAATAATAAGGAATTAACTCAGGCCACACCACGAGTCCATGAATTGTTTGAGCAGAGAACTGACAGGCTCCAACTGACAGGCTCCAACTGACAGCTGGTGTGGAGGATGACTTGAGGAAGAAGAAAGTCAGGCGATAAGGAACTGTAGCAATAGTTTGGCACAGTAAGAAGAACAGAAGTGCAAGAGCAGCCAAGTATAGAGACAGGGGAGGACAGAATCACCGTTAGAGAGGGAGACACTACTGAATTTAACAGTTGCTATTTAGCTACACCTTTACTGTTCTGTTAAAGCAGAAAGCACTCAATGTAGAAAAAGAAGTATCATTACGCATTTCAGAGCTGGGTTCGTGTCAGGCTTAGAACTGGCATTTGTGTAATTCAGCTAAAGGTGGTTTGTCCAAATATAAATTTACTGAAATGTGTCTGTGTATGTGCATGTGTGTTTAGGTTAATGAGCTCATGAATCGAGTTCTCCTTTTGACTACAGAAGTTTTTAGGAAACAGCTGGATCCTTTTCCTCACAGGCCAGTGCAGGCACATGGTGAGCTGGCTGGTATTTCAGCCTTTTCTTACTTGTGTTTCATTGCTTAAAAATTTTTCCTGGACAGCTTAGTGCATTTGAGAATTTTGTTTAAAAAAAAACACAGCTCACTGTTCTCCCACAGCCTGGAGGATTAATACCTGCCATTAAACAAATTACATATAAACAATGTGTACTTTCCTGTGCTGGGAAACTTTTCTGACCATTTGAAAACTCTGACTGTAAAAAGATAATCCAGAATCTGTTGAAAAATCACACATTTTAAGTAACTTTCTTCTGGGCTTTCCCCTTTGGTATTTTATTAATAGTTACTTTTCAGACAGAAGAAAAGAAAGTGTCAGAGTTCCTCCCACCTGTAAAAAGATGTTTTTGACATGTTTGAAATGTATCAAACTGGGATATAAAATTTTAAGAAAGAAATAAATAGAAAGTTAGTACTTTTTGTACTAAAATACAGCATCTTAATTCCTGCATGCTTGGACTTGTAAGAAAAATGCTCTATAAACCTTACAAATATGAGTTCACACCCCAAAGTTCCAAGCAAATAAATATTAGTCAGGGCCTTGTATATGATCTTTATTCTTTTCTTAGAAAGAGAAGATTCTAGGCAATGCTCAAGAATGTCCTGTGTTTCGGGGGGCGGGGGGTATGATGACAGGGTTTCACATGTTCTTTTGAATTACTTTATCACTTATTTTCCCTGACTGCCTCTATAGACAGCGTGGCTTGGTAGTTAAGAGTGTGAGCTGGAATGTCAGGCTCTCTGGCTCCAAGTCTCTGATATGCTGTATCCTTGCTATCAGTTTCCTCATTGCTAAACTGCCAGCATCTATCCCTTATCATTGCTGTGGGGAGTAAATGGGTAAAGGCATAAAAAGCTCTTATAATATAGACTTGATGCATAGGAAGAGCAATGTAAAGTCTTGCTTTCATCATCATCATCGTTAGATCAAAAATGTGTGGCCCAGAAAATTGAAATAATCTGTTGACATTTACTGGATGGTAACGACAAAGCAAATACCCCAACCTGGACCAGTCCTTCAAAGTGAACTTCTACATGCATCTGAGCCTAAGTCATTGTAAGAGTCTCTTTTAACAATTCAGAGCACAGCCAACAAATTGGTTTCTCCTGGAAATGAAGGGGGTTGGGAACAGTTTTTTGTTGCTAAGTTTTTTTTTGGTTCTAGGAATCAAACTCAGGACCTCACACAGTCTGGGCAAGTGGGGTACCACTGAGCCACCTCCCAAGTCCTCTTCTAGCAATTTTATAATACATGATACGTCATTGTTAACTATGGTCACCGTGCTGCCAAGAGATCAGTAAAACTCATTCCTCTATTCTAATAGAGGAATATTCCCCTAGTCTAATAGTATTAAGAAGGGTTTTTTTTTTAAAATTTTTTTTGCCTTTTGGCAGTACTGGGGTTTGAACTCAGGGTCTCACATTTGGGAGGCAGGCTCTTTACCACTTGAGCCACTCCACCAGCCCCTGGTATGTAGAAGTTTTGGTAAGAGTGGTTCACTATTGGTGGAAGTTTACATTGTTGCATCATTTTGTAGGGTAACATTCTTTCATTGAATACTTACTGTCTGCTCTGTACCACTAATTAGTGGTACTCAGCATCAGGAATGTGAAGGAATGACAGTCAAATATAGAGAAAATGTCAATAAGGAAGCCTTTTGCAGTGCAGCAAAAGACTGAGAAAAAAGTGAACCCTGCAATTAACTTTTGTAGAGACATTGTCTGCATCTGTATGTGTGTAGGCCCTTGGATGTAGGCCTTGCTATGTAAATGGTCAGAATAACACTCCGAAGTAGATACTGTTATTATTCCAATATTACAGGAAAAAGGTTAGGCTTTGTGTGGTTAGTTGATGGTTCTTGGTTAGTAAGGAGTAGAACTAGATCTCTAAGTAACTGTTGCTTTAACACTTCAATTAATTTTGTTACATTCATAAAGATGTAACAGAATAGAGTATATCCTCAAGTAAAATATGATATTCCTATGAAATATAATATACATATCTACATACATATATACATTTACAGTTCCCTGGTGAATGGTGCTTGGGACAGGAGGACTAGGGTTGGGCTATAGCTCTAACTTCTATAAACAGGGCAACCTGTAGCCTGGACCTTAATTTCCTCTTGGTGAAAAAGCAATTTTTCCTTCCTCCCCTTTTGGCTATTGATATTAGTGGTTGTTAACACATCAGAGTCTCGGAAGTTTGGCATGAAGTTGTCAAGGATGTATCAGTGGTAGCTGATCTACTTATTCCTTTGACCTTTCTCCTGTCCACTCATTTACCTTCGTTTGTTTTTTTGGTGGAAGTGGGGTGTGAACTCAGGGATTCATGCTTGCAAAGCTGGAGCTATACCACTTGAGCCACACCTCCAGCTCTCCATTCAGATAGCTTATACATTAAGATAAACCTACATTCCTGAAGGGACATTACTGATTGGAAAAGAATATGCATAATTAGAAATATATTAAATAAGTATTGATCCCAAATGAAACTTTTAAACAGTGCAGAGCACAAATCACTAATAGTGATGTTGTTAATGAAGGAGTATTTGCAGCACAAATTTTTTTTTTTCATTTTTCTTTTATTATTCATATGTGCATACAAGGCTTGGTTCATTTCTCCCCCCTGCCCCCACCCCCTCCCTTACCACCCACTCCACCCCCTCCCGCTCCCCCCCTCAATACCCAGCAGAAACTATTTTGCCCTTATCTCTAATTTTGTTGTAGAGAGAGTATAAGCAATAATAGGAAGGAACAAGGAGTTTTGCTGGTTGAGATAAGGATAGCTATACAGGGCATTGACTCACATTGATTTCCTGTGCGTGGGTGTTACCTTCTAGGTTAATTCTTTTTGATCTAACCTTTTCTCTAGTTCCTGGTCCCCTTTTCCTATTGGCCTCAGTTGCTTTAAGGTATCTGCTTTAGTTTCTCTGCGTTAAGGGCAACAAATGCTAGCTAGTTTTTTAGGTGTCTTACCTATCCTCACCCCTCCCTTGTGTGCTCTCACTTTTATCATGTGCTCATAGTCCAATCCCCTTGTTGTGTTTGCCCTTGATCTAATGTCCACATATGAGGGAGAACATACGATTTTTGGTCTTTTGGGCCAGGCTAACCTCACTCAGAATGATGTTCTCCAATTCAATCCATTTACCAGCGAATGATAACATTTTGTTCTTCTTCATGGCTGCATAAAATTCCATTGTATAGATACCACATTTTCTTAATCCATTCGTCAGTGCTGGGGCATCTTGGCTGTTTCCATAACTTGGCTATTGTGAATAGTGCCGCAATAAACATGGATGTGCAGGTGCCTCTGGAGTAACAGTCTTTTGGGTATATCCCCAAGAGTGGTATTGCAGCACAAATTTTTAACCCCTGTCCTCCCATGTATTTTCTCCTTATTTCTAAAATTGTGATAATTTTTCATTTCTGAGAAGTTAAAATCAGGATACAATCAATGGAAATTATAGTAATATTCAGATAGCACTATCAACTCTTCACAGTAAAATTACTATCTTAAATGTACAATTTAAAGTATTATAAATAACTACTTTTACTTTTTTAGGTTTAGACTGTACTGATATCAAAGATACCATTGGCTCTGTCACCAAAACACCAAGTGGTTTATATATAATCTACCCAGAAGGCTCTAGTTACCCATTTGAGGTAAAGTTTTTCCTTATTATGTGGAATAAAATAAACATCCAAGCAATTTAATTAATATTAAAAATTTAATTATTGTAATATTTAATTTTTTCTTGAAAGTTTTAAAGTAATTTAGTAACAGTTTCAAAATTTTGGTTTTCTATAATTCTAATATCAAACTATGAATCAGTAGAAGAACAAGGTATTCTGTATGTCACTGTCTGAATTTCCATGGTTGCACTTTTTAAAGCAAACTCATTTGGTGCAAGATTTTATATTTTTCTTATTGTAGCAGAACTAAGCAATATAAATCTGCTAGCCTATGGAGATTAGAAAATAATGATGTTTTTGCCTTGAAGCTTACTAAAAATACTTTTGACTTCCTTTCCTATTTATGCTTATGCTTTCTTTGATGATAAATGATTTCTTGTGATTGCATCAAATTAGTAATTTAAACAATCTTTTACTGGGTACAATGAAGATTGATAATCTGATCCATTGTTAATTTGGGTAAAATAAATTACTCATGCTATCCCTATCCTTGCATTCTATGCTAGGATTTCTAGTCAAAATTTCTGAGCACTTTTTCTTTGTGCATAAGAAAGTTTCTGATACTTATGCCTATTGATAGTCTTTATTGCACAATAAAATAACTTTCTTTCTAAATAGATTCTACCAGTTTCTCTTCTTGGAGTCACTGTGTTATTTCTTTTGAAATTTATTGACAAGATGTCAAAAAATTGGAAACTAGGTGGGAAATAATTTTTAAATTACCTTCAATTATTTCGCCTACAGCTTCAAAACTGGATCTGAACAGCTGTAGAAAAGAAGGCTTCTAATTTTACGAAGAGTGGGATGTATCACTCTTCTGTGGGAAAGTGTTGCTTCCCTAACTTCCTCCACACTGCTTTTTTTTTGGTCTTTGTGTGGGAAGTTTCTGATGGAAAGGACTGCTCTGGTTTCTTCCCTTGCCATTTCTGTGCATCCCCTGCTGGGACATTTTGCACAGCACCATCGGGAGGTACCTATGAGCACCTGCTGTGTGAGCATAGGTCAGGTCTTTGTGTCTGAACACGGTTCTTCAAGGCTTGTGAGAGAAAAGAGCAATCATAGGCAGGCAGACAGGCATATTTAACATGTTTTAAAGTATTTTATTCAAAGAAAAGTTAATTTGTAAACAGATACATCACTCTGCCACATCAAATCAGTATTGTTATTACTGAGTTGAAAAACATTTATGGAGTCAAGAAATAATAAGATAACCTTAAAATGTTACCAACAAGTATACGTTTTTAAAGAGTGACTGATATAGGGACTGTAATTAGGTTAGTTACAAGTTTACTTTATAATACATTGTGTTATTCTTAGAGACTTAAAAGAATCTGAATATATTAATGACATACAATTGCATTGGAAAATTTCAGTGGAAGTAACTTTTTTTTCTCTAGGCCCATAGATGAGCATGCATTTTAAAATATGAAATAATGAAAATAATTATTTTGGTATTTTCTGGGTCTATTTTAGGTAATGTGTGACATGGATTTCAGAGGAGGTGGATGGACTGTGATACAGAAAAGGATTGACGGGGTCATTGATTTCCAAAGGTTGTGGTGTGATTATCTGGATGGATTTGGTGATCTTTTAGGTCAACTTTTATGTATTTTTGCTCTATTTTTTTAAATTCCTTTTGGTATTGTGACTATAAACTATGTCTGTGTTGGTTAAATCTTTAGTAAAAAGTAACAAATCCAAGTGAATACCAAAATGTGATTTAAGCTACCCTTTTCACATCAAATTATGTTTAAAATGGCTGTCAGTTGAGATTGAGAAATCTTTATTTTTAGTTATCTGTTGAAATGTGATTTGGATGAAAATTCTAAATTGGATATTCATTAAGTATCTACTATACACCCAGCAGAGTCTGGTCAACAGGTGATCAACTGTTTGTAGAGTGAAAAAGTGAACAGGCAGGGTTGTCATAGATCTTAAACATTTTGAGATGTGTGCTATATCTACACCAGCAAATGACCTGGAGAACTGAACTATGTGACTGTTCAGATTCAAATTATTTGAATTGGACATACTGTTTTATTAAAATATTAGTAAGCATTACTATGCTGGAAATTTGACAACTATAAACCCCAGATGACTTGTAAAATCTGGTTGTAAAATATTGCCACATGGCAATACTTTTGATTATAAACAAAAAGACCCCAGTATTTCTGACCTTTTTTAGAATTTGACACTAGTTGCAACGTCTGCAAGCGATTTCGATAATATTTGTGCTATTTTAGTAGTTGTTATTGTTACAACTTAAAATGCTTTGCCTCCTATAATAACGATGGCCCAATGATTTAGTAAGTGGTGGTGTCAGTCCTGGTGATAAAAACCCTGCTGCAAGTCAATGACTTTAGAATGCATTTGGCTTGTGGTCAGATTCTGCCATGCTATGAGGTGTGGTTGAATGGTTGTATTTTCTAAGCATTATCTAGAATTTCCCATCAAGTGCTTCCTCCTGAATTGAGGAGTCACAGATTGACACAGGGTTTGAATTGTCCTTTTTCCTTACTTTGTGATTATCTCTGTGGGGAGATGGTATGAGTTCTGATTAATAAGATCTTCACGCAAGTATTCCTCATGCAAACTGAGACTGTTATACCTGGTGACATTTAAAAAAATACATTGGGGATTAAGGAAAATGTACTGTTAAATCTTAAGTCTGAGTTGGGAAGACAGAGGCACTTAAATTGAAATGTTATAGACTGTCTGAGACTAAACAGAGCCTCTTGGGACCTATCATACTGTGCCCATCTTCTTCCTGTACTTACTCTGGATATTTTTCAGTTCTAACTGGGTGATAGCTAATACGTTCCCATTAACTATAGAAGAGAATTTAATAACTTAGTCTTAGTTTTAAGAGTCGTAATGCTGTCACATTATTCTCTAACTCTTTGAAGTTTGTTTTGGCTAGACTCTTATGCACTTCAGTAATTTCATGATCCAAGTAGAAGGATATATCTTAGGGTATCCATATTTAGGCTATGCCACAGTGAGTAGGGGGAAGTGGAAAGCCATTGATTTAGGTCAGGCACCATAGATCACACCTATAATCCTAGCTACCCAGGAGGTAGAGATCAGAAGGGTCATGGTTTGAGGCCAACCTGGGCAAAAAGTTAGTGAGACCCGCATCTCAATCAATAATCTGGGCATGATGGTATGTGCCTGTGCTCCCAGCTGTGCAGGAGGCATAGGTAGGAGGATGGAAGTTCAGGCTGGTCCTGTGCAAATAGAGTGATACCCTATCTGAAAAATAACTAAAGGAACTGAGGGTATGGTTCAAGTGGTAGATATCTGCCAAACAAGCATAAGGCCCTCAGTTAAAAAACTGCGGTACCTCAAAAACAAACAAAACGTCAACAAAAAGCCATAAAGCCATTGGCCAGAATATGAATGAAAGAAGTACGGTCTGAATTAGGGTGTTCTATAATCCATCCTGGATCTGCGGTTGTCTTAGAAATACTGACCTAAGCCTAGGGATACTCCATTGTTGTTCCAAGCGATTTTTAGCCATAGGTAATTTACAAGCTACATTATAACAACAACAACAACAAAATACTTGTTTTATTCTTCAAGATAGAAAAAAGTAATTTCAATTGAGTAATTTTTAGGAAATTTTTTAAAAAAAGCAGCTGATTTGGAGGTTAAACCTCTTACATTTATGGGGACATAGCATTTGTTACCTGTCATAATATTTCAATGAGTTTTTTTTTTTGCTGACATGTCCTTTTTATTTAGTCTTTAAGTGAACTTTTGAATTTATTTTGGGGAGATAAAATGGAACCGATTTTCTCTAGTCTTAATGAAGTAGGAAGTTGGGTTTTTTTTGGGGGGGTAAATTAGATAAACACTAATAATTTGAGTGAGGTAATCCAATCCTTATAATTATTTATTGAAATGCTAAATGACACCAAACATTCAATAATAAAGAATTGTTTTAATTTGTATTAAAATATATTAAAACAAAGAATTTTTTTTACAGGAGAATTTTGGCTAGGACTAAAAAAGATTTTTTATATAGTCAATCAGAAAAATGCCAGCTTTGTGCTGTATGTGACCTTAAAATCTGAAGATGACACATTTGCTTATGCATCATATCATAATTTTTGGCTTGAAGATGAAACAAGATTTTTTAAAATGCACTTAGGACGGTATTCAGGAAATGCTGGTAAGTTTTTCATTCCTAAAATGGTCCTGCATATTGAAGTATCATGGACTCAATATGGGTGAAGATAAAAATACTGCACTTCTCTTTGGCATGACACATAACTGGTGAAGAGTACCAGTTGTGTACTGGGAGACCTTAGGGATTGTTGGCCAAGTGTGGAGTCTGGAAACTCTGCTCTGAACATTGGATCACCTCATGATTCTGAAATGCTTTCTTTCTGTCTTTCTTTCTTTCTTTTTGGTTTATTTATTCATTTATTCATATGTGCATATATTGTTTGGGCCACCTCTCTCCCACTGCCCCCCGCCCCCTCCCTCCACCACCCACCCCCCTCTCTTCCAGGCAGCACCTGTTCTGCCCTCTCTCCAATTTTGTTGAAGAGAAGACATAGCAATAATAAGAAAGACAAAGTGTTTTTGCTAGTTGAGATAAGGATAGGTATACAGAGAGATTCCTAGCACTGCTTCCGTGCACATGTGTATTACAACCCGAATTGGTTCATCTCTACCAGACCTCTTCACTACTTCCTGGTCACCTTCCCATAGTGACCTCTGTCAGTTTAAGGTTACTATATTAGCTCTTATACAATGGGCACATTAAATACTTTCTCAAGTTTTGGGTTTCTTACCTTTCCCTATTCCTCCGTATGTGTTCTACTCTTAGCATGTGACACATGTCCAATAATATTACTGCATTTGTTTTAGGTCTAATGTCCACATATGAGGAAGAACATATGATTTTTGGCCTTCTGAGCCTGCCTAACTTCGCTTAGGATGATGTTCTCCAGTTCCATCCATTTACTTGCAAGTGACAGGATGAAATGCTTTATTTCTTTAAAACAATTTGTCATGCGTCGCCTCAGTTGATCTTTTGGATGGACATCAGCTGGGAGTAGGCCAAGAATGTATTATTACCTTATTCCCAGATTCATGTTCAGAGAGGCTGACGTTTAGAAGTTATAGAATGTGAGTTGATCTCTGCTCTTGTCACTTCACCAGAACAGAAATGTGAAAGATAAATGATGTGTCCAAGAAAGCTCAAAACACCTGAGTCATGGAAATAATCCAAGTTGATAGAAACAAGGAGCTCAGTGTTTTTTTCCACTCTATCTTGGTGTACCTACTCATTTCCAAATAAATTTAACTTGTTACAATGTCAGAATGCTTGATGAGAAACCTATACTTTGGTGATGAGATTTTAAAGGTATTCAAGTTAACAGATACAAAAGTCAGCTTCCCCACTGTTGCTGACAGTGTCACTTGTTTGTCTGCATAGTCAGTGTTAGAATCTAAAAGTGAGTGTTATGAATCTCAGCTCTTTAACTGATCATGATATAGAAGGGAAGATAAAGAAGACTGAAAATACAGAGTACTGAAAGAGCTTTGGGGTTGGAGAGAGAGAGAATGATTCTAACTGATTACAACCAGAAAAATTTCATGGAAGGGCAGTTTTCAAAAACAAGTCACTGTCAAACCTTTTTGAAGGTACATACACCTACAAAATCTGATTCAGTAACGTTGGGCAGATGGATATGTTGGCATACTTGTAGTTGAGAACCATGGACCCGGTCTTGGAGGACTCTTGCTTCTGGCAAGAAGCAAGAATGTTGGCAAACAGAGCAGACTGTGTCAAGCAATAGGGAGGAAAATTAGAGCACATGGAGATTTGTCTGGTATGGCTGGAATTTATGACATCTGAGGAGGTTTACTCCTGAGACATTAGGTGGAAGTTGGAAATTCAAATATTGATACGTAGGGAATAATTTAAAGAGTTACAACATAAAGTTCACAGTGCATTATCTCTAAAAGTGTAAAGAATTATTTAAACACGGAATATGCTATCTTAGGAAGTTTATCTATGGGTTCTCTAAACCATGACTGTGATTTAATTGGAGGATACAATCTGTAATGGCAAGCTTTTTCATTATGGAACCCTCCAACTTTGCGATGGTTGCTCTCAATCATTGATCACATAATATAATCAAAATAGTGAAAGAAAAAGGTGTTAGTAGAATTTAAGGAGATAAATATAGATAAACCAAGGGGCTGAACTATGGTCAGGACACATCTTTGGCTTTGAGTTTGAGCAAAAATAGGGACATGAATTTGAACATTTGAGCAATACAGTCATTTCATTAAAAATGCAAATATTCCTCATAATAAAACTCAAGAGAAATTTCTCTGGCTTCTCAGAGAAAACAGTGTTATGTTCTCTAAAACACTATCACAGGAAGCACACTGGATGAATTTTAGTGAACTATTTCTGAAAAAATGGACCTATACATTTATTTTTAAAATGAGTGTTAAATATAATCCACTGAGGATCCCATAACCATGTAGAGCCTTCTGATGACTGGACTTCACCCAGAAAGAATATTCATGGAGTGATTGCAAAATTAAAGCAATGCTCCCTGATGTTGCCTTTCTAACCTGAACTTTGGAAAGGTATTGCATTGTGTGGGTGTTGATATTATATTCTCTCTGCAAATGCATCCCTGCCATTCATGTCTTTTGTTCTAACAAGTTTGGAGCCAGGGACTGTAATAATAAGCAGAGCTGCCATTGGGGTGGGTTACACCACTGATGAAGTGTTTCAGGTTCCTCAAACTGTTTGTCTCTACATCTTTTACATAGATTTTCTTTTAGTTAGTGTTTCAAACATCTTAGTAAAGTTTATAGGAAGGTGAAAGGTAGGTATTATGGATTTACTAAGAATGTTTTGATTTTATGGCTTTTTATAAAACAAAATGTAAGTCCTGCTCCTGTTAGTTGACTGGGATGGCTTGGCTAAGATACTTAATCTTTGGAGAGACATTGTGGATATCAGGTGTACTATGCATAAAATGTCCACTGTATGCCCTTAAAATAATGAATTCATATGGAACGGGAAAAGCCATGAAGAAAAGGCACCTCGGGAGTATATATCTGAATTTTTCTTTAGGGCATTAGGTATTCTATAGAAACCTGATGCCTCTAACTAAAATCAAACAACTTTTGTAATGATAGATCTAAGTTTCTTGAAGATAAAAGGTTAACCTTCATCTATACTTCTCTATCTAAAGTGATGTAAAGGGGAGGTCTGAACATCTACTAAATTAAAGTTGTTTCTTTCCCTACATTATCAATCACCAGTGTTATCAATACTGGTTACTTCAAAATATGACCGTACACCATCATTTTTGGCCGAAATTATTTGATTTTTGTCTACACAGCCAAACTCCTATTTTGGTTGCACTATCCATTTAAGGATGTTTGTCAGCTCGTCACTTGATTTTGGCTCATTGCAATCGGTGTGAGAGAGATTTTTGACATGATGTAGTAGAAAAACAATTTAATCTTTATTTCTAGATGTGATGCTTGTGCATAAGGGGCTGGTAGTGGTTGATTAATATAATGGAAATTGCCTCTAAATTCAGGCATCTAAAAAGTCTGTTTTACCCAGGTGATGCATTTCGGGGCCTCAGAAAAGAAGATAATCAAAACTCAATGCCTTTCAGCACAGTGGATGTTGACAACGATGGGTGTCACCCTGCGTGCCTCCTTGATGGCGGGTCTGTGAAGAGCTGTAGTCACCTCAGTAACAACACTGGATGGTGGTTCAACCAATGTGGACTTGCCAATCTGAATGGCATCTATCGCTTCCCTGGAAAATCACTTGCCTCTGGAATTCAGTGGGGCACATGGACCAAAAACAACACACTGGTCAAGATCAAATCTGTCTCAATGAAGATTCGAAGAGCTTACAACCCTTATTTTAAATAATCTCCTTTTAAATTGTAGTGTGAGTTCCAAAATTATTTTTGATAATATACTAGAGATTTGACATAATTTCTCTTTTTTACTTTGCATTTTCAAAAATAAGCAAAAATTAGATGATAGATAGGTTTAATTAGAAAACCTCAATTTTTGTAGCATTTTAGAAAAGAAGTCATGGCACATTGTGTGTTTTTACTACTAACTATATTAACATTATGTAATGCAATTTGTTTTAGGTGCCTTCAACTTGTATTTCTGAAGTTTATAGTGCTTTTAAATGATTTCACCTTTGAAACATGTAAACCATAATAAGTTAGGAAAATTGAAGAGAAGATTTACTTATTTCTGTATTCACTTTATATGCCTAATTATATAATCTACAGATAATTTCTACTGAAGACAATTGTAAAGAATAACTTTTATGCAGATTAATATATAAGCTCCACATGCTTAAAAACTTAACTGTTTCTAGGTGATGCCATAATAGACGTTTGCTGCCCAAATAAAGTTCTTATTTTCATATTTTATCATGGTTAATAATTTTATTCTTTTTAAAATCAATCTGTTCACATTTAATGCAATTACTTAAAAAATTTTTTTATTATTGTTGTACTGGGGGTACAATGTGACATTTAGGAAAGTTCTGATAATATATAATAGTTGAATTCACTCCTCCACTGTTCTCCTTTATGCTCTCTCCTCCCGTTCCTGGGATAGTTTCAACAGGTCTCCTTTTTCCATTTACATACATGTGTACACAGTATTTGTACTATATTCACCCTCCCACACCCTTTCCCCACCTCCTCCACCTTCCCATGGACCCCACCCTCACCCCTCACCCCTGCCAGGACCTGTTCTGTCCTCCTGTTCTCCATTTTTGTTAAAAAAAAAAATGACATTTTCGTTTGTTTAAGATAGCTCTGCAGGGTGTTTCATTGTGATAATTCCATGGTTATACATATTATAACCCAAATTGGTTCATCCAGTAATTTTGTTCTTATTTGTGATAAACTTACTGTAGTTTTAGTTGTGTTCTAGAACATAACTGTACTTAACTCTTTTTAAACCAGTAGGAATGGTATGAATTGGAAGTGAAGGACAGTGGAGAGAGTGAGGAGCCAGTGGTCTGGATGAGCAGGGAGCAGGCGCCACTCTTTCTGACTTGGAATTTGTTGGATGGCAAGGCTTCCATGGGACGAGACAGCAGGTCACATGCTGGGCCAAGGCCAGTTACCAATAAGAGAGGCAGGGTAAACAAGAAAGAAGAGTCTTGATAGATAAGTACTTTGTCCAGAGCTAAGATTATACAGTGTGCAAAGGAGGGAGGCGTGGCTGAAAATGAGATAGGAAGAGGATTGAATGACAGTAGGCAGACGATGCAGGTATCCGGGTGAGCTAGCGGAACAGAGGAGGGCTAATCTTGATCAGAGTACAGAGTCTGATTCCACTCAGGGACAGGCAAAAATGCCAATAAGGCAACGCTCAGGAATGCTTCCACTGAAATCCTTTCAGAGCAGAGGCAGCTCCGAATGGTTGTCCAGGAGATATGGCTGCAAGAAGGGGCACATGGCTCCCATGGCTTCCTGTGCCTCTCACAGAAGCACAGCTGAGCTTCTCTCTGTGTCTTGGAGGTGGAGTAAAACTGCCAGGCTGGAGCGCAGATTGTGGGCTCACTGACTTTCCTGCCTCTAGTATGAGAAGCACCAGAAGGCAGCTCCACCTGTAAACTAAGGTGACCGCTTTGCTACTTCACAAGCACCTCTACTGTCTGGATTCTGGGCTGTGATTCTTGCTGAGCCTGACCCAGCAAGCTCCCCTATGGCACTGCAAGGTCCGGAGAGCTGCATATTTTTATCCCATCATGAAGGCTATGGAAACATTGAGGTACCCCCTTACTTGAGGTTTAACTCAGGACCTCATGGTTGCTAGGCAAGTTCTCTACCACTTGAGCCACACCTCCAGCCCTTTCTGCATTAGTTATTTTTTTGGATAGGGTCTTGTGGTTTTTGCCTGGGCTGGCCTGGACCATGATCCTTGTGCCTGTTCCTCCTGTGTAGCTGGAATTATAGCTGTGCACCATCATGCCTAGCTTATTGATTCAAATAGGGTATCACTAACTTTTGCCAGGACTGGCTTCGAACCATGATCCTCCTGATCTCTGCCTCCTGAGTAGCTGGAATTACAGATGTGAGCCACCATGCCCAACCTAGTGGGGGTTTAGCTTTCTGTACTTTATTTTCTGAGCTTTTGAAGGACGGACTGCAGGAGGTCCCAAAAGGTGATAACTGGCCAAGGAGACACCTCCTTTCCAGGAAGGGATCTGAGAGACATTTCTGCCCTAGGGCAATACAGAAAGGCTATAAAAACCAAATTTCCCAACTTGAGCCATGGAACCACCAGTTTCTGGGTCCCTCTGCATGCCCCCATGTAGCCTTTCTCTTCTCTTCTCTACGAATAAAATCTTTCTGACCTTTGCTGCTGGAGTCCACCTGTGCTTTCATTCTCAGAGTTGACCCAAGAACCCTGAACACCTGAAATTCCTGCGTGTCTTCTGTGCATCACTTTCAGTTACCTGTAGTCAAGCACTGTAGAATGTGAGACCACATTCATATAGCTTTTATTACAGCAGTTGTTATAATTATTCTATATTATTATTAGTTATTGTTGCTAATCTCTTACTGGTCCTTTTTTACAGGAATGTATGTATTATAGAAAAAACATACATTTCTGTTTGTTCTGAACTAGCTATGGTTTTTGGCATCTCTAGACTTCTGATAATGGGGAAAATATGTGTGAATATTGAGGGCCAGAAATCTTGGAAGCCATTTTGGAGTTCTGTCTACTACAATATTAAATAAGTTACAAAATTAAAATACCTATAATGAGGAAAAAGGAAAGGAATAGGAAAATTCTATGATGATAAAAATATCTAACAAAATATGCAAACCCTTGTCATATACAGGAAAGCCAGGGTTTTATGTTGTGGGGAGGAGATGGTGGAGTAAATGGCAATGAGATAGATGACTAATAATTTGAAAATAAAAAGGAACATTTTATCATGCAAAAGCTAATTCCAGACAGATTAAAGCCATGAAAAAGCCAAAATTGCTTAGAATTAGGCAAACATATGAGTAAATTCATTTGATTATTTGAATATTTGAAGCTCTCCTGTATACCCTAAACACAACTCACAAAATTAGAGATGTGGGAAAAAGTAGAAAAAGAATTTGAACAAATGACAAATTCTATTCCTTATAGACTATGCATCCTAAAATATAAGAAGATCCTTTTAAAATGGGCAAATTACATGGACAGCAGTTGACAACATACAGATGTCAATAAACATAAACTTATTACCTGAATCATCATGAAAAGTAAGACCTAATGCTGTCAGGATTGACATGGTAACACTACTACTCACTGCTCTTCCAGCAGTTGGGAAGTGAGATTATTCACACTTTTGTAAGGTAAATTGATGTAACCTGGACAAAGGCACAGGCAGGAAGAAACAGCTCACCTCAATTTCACATCGCTTGTGCACACACATAGCTGGAAATATTCAATCAAAACTAAACTGCAGTGTTTACTGGGTGTCCTACACTGTGCTTAATATCAGTCCTCAGAAAACCCTATGAGTCCTTATAAAAGTCCTTTACTGATGAAGACGAACTAGATAAAGAACCACAGTGACACCACTTATGTGTACATGATCTGGAATTTGAACACAGGTGTTCTTCTCTACACTGCCCTTCTCACTGAAGAAGCCAGTGTGGTGGGCAATGTGCAGGCCCCGTATGTCAGCCCTGCCCTAATCTGCTTCCAACCACATTTTGCTGTCATGTACTGAATGTTCTTATATGCAAGGACAAATCAATCCTTATGTCAGTTCTGAAATAGTTTTTCCATTTTGTTATAAAGGAAGAATTAGAATGTTGATGTAATAGCAGGAGATAGGAAGGCAGTTAGGTGAAAACAAAAACAAAATTTTATTATCTATTGAAATCAGCTTGACCCAGTTTTGTCTTTAGCTTGGATGGTTGCTCAGAGGCTCTCAGGACCTGTGCTTTCAATTCAAATAAACAAGCACAACTAAAAAGAACTTCGAGAAACAGAAATGAGAAAAATTAGTACATTGAGCCATATAAAAGAACATTTCACTTCATGGTTCCTAGTACAGGATATTTAATACATCCATGCTCTTTGTTTTCTATAAAAGCTGAGTTTAAGAAACCAAATACTTGTTAACGTGGCACTTGAGATTTTAATGCATTAAACAGCTGGGAGGAGGACTTGAGGCATTTCAATTTTCCACAAATGCTGACGCATTTCATATAACTCTGAAACTGAAACAAATGGCATAATGAAAGTTTTGAATACTTCTAAGTTAAACAAACTTCTTAGAAACACAGTCAAAAACATTAAAAATTTAATAATACTGTAATTTCACACTTGGATATAAATTTTATTACAAAAAAAGCATCTAAAAATCCATAGGCATTTCAAAGTCAGTCTCCTAAAACTTGTCAGTTTTACAAGAATTAGACCTACCACAATAAATGAAAAATATCAAAGCAGTTAATAACCTGAAAGTTAAGTGTTTTATCAATCTTCTACCATCTGGACAATACTACTTAGATTAAACTTTTTCATTCTAAATGAATATGCATATGAACAAATATACAATTCTTTACGATTCAGTTCACAACTGACATATATGAGAACACCAGCCCTACACTGTCCCCAAGCAGGCCTGAGCCTAGATGCGAGAATGGTTAAAATCAGGGGTTTGCAAAGGAGGGACCACAGGTCATACATATACATGGTCCACCATTTGTAACTTTAGTCAATAGTTTCACTGGAACACAGTCACACTTACTCATTTATGTATTGTCTATGTCTTCTTTCTTGCTACAATGGCAGAGTTGAGGAATTCCAACTCAGACTGTTGTGTCTGTAGGGTAGAAAACTTACTACATTGTCCTTTATTTAAAAATATTGGATTAGAT